ATATATATATATATATATATATATATATATATATATATATATATATATATATATATATATATATATATATATATATATAGTAACTTGCTTACAAAGAGAATTCTAAGAGTTCTCACATTCTGTTTAGCAGAACAATCAATATTGCCCTTTCCATTTTTGATGAAGGTCAATCTTCAGTGTGGTATCTCCAATAGAGTCGTTACTATAATAAGAATGTAGTATCGAGCCAGAAAGTCTGGTGTTGACATTTACTCCAACCTTATAAGGAACATGACAGACATATGAGAAGTTTTTCGTGGCAAGCTTCACTTAGATTAATCAAGGTTTTAATTATAATACTAAATGAACTGTTCAGTTCATTCATTGTCTTAATATTAGAAGTTTCTTGTTTTAAGGTAATTTTTCAAAACATTTTATAGTAATTGTGTCGTGATAGAAATGCAGCTTAATATTTTAAACGCTTCTGATTAAAAGAAATACTTCTGTGTATTCAACTTTCACTGTAGCATGAAACTTTAAATTGCAGCTCAGTGAACTGAATGAATTAAATTAGTGAATTGAAATGGGTTCTGTCAAATTCCCTGTGTCATGTGCCTTGTCTTGTGCATTGATTCCTAAGCAAAATTGTAATAGAATAATGTAAAAAGCTAAATATACACAAGGACTGAAATAGAAAAGTATACACTATAGTGTACTTCTCATTTTTTCCTGTAGTATTTAAAGGGATCTTGGGATTGTTTTGATTTATTCTTGAAAGAATTCTAAGGCTGAGTTCACATATAGTATTAAATCTGGATTTTTAATTATGTGACCAGTTTCATACATAATGTTACATCATAATTTCAGAGGTCACAAGCTGAAAACAAGCAACCCACCTTATAGCTAAGCATCCTATAAGTTGAAAACAAATACATCACATTAGCCTACAGTATAGCATTAGGTATAAATCAGCTCAATATGAAGTTTAAGCCGATTTTATGTCAAGTTTAGGAATTTGAACTACAGTCCATGATTACTACAACATACAGTTTCCAAACATAGCTATTTAATAGAAAATCTCCCTGAATTAAACTTACTCATTCTAAGAAAGGTTCACAGCATGAATTTGAGAAACTGTCCAATTCTAGCTGCAAGTTTTAAAATGTGGGCCATGTAGTATAAATCATTTCCCTAGTTGCTTGTGGAAAATATTGATAGTGATGAACATCTTTCATTTTTTAAACCAAAGGAAGTTGTCTTCTTTTGTTATTTGTTCTCCTCTGTCTGCCTGAAATGCTGAAAAGAGACACGCACAAGTAGGTGACTAATAACGGCTGAGGCCTTAGTTGCATGATTGCCATATTCTTAAATATTTTATCCTTTAATGGTAAGGGATGTGTGTACCATTATACAGCTCTGTAAAAAAAAATGCATACGTAAGCCATAGTTTTAAAAAGCTTTACTGTTAAGAAATAACAGTGAAATCTCTAAATTTCATTGCTCCCACAAGCTCTTCCAAATGTTTTCATGCTACCTTCAGTTTAAAAAGTGTTAAGATGCATTGATGGATAATTGCAATGCTGAAAGGGCATAATGCTTATTCAACATATTTTCATACCAATGTATCCAAATTTGCACCCATTAAATCAGTACTTATTAAGCTTTCTTTCATTCCCCAAAAGTGCTTTGACAGAAAGTCCTGTTTACCCAATGTAGGTAAAACACTTTAAATTAATTTAAATGTCCTGCTGTGATTGGGTAATGGATTCATGTGTCAATACCCAAAGGAAAACCATTGTTACCCAATTTGGGGTAATCATCCAGGTTTGGGAAGCACTGCATTAAAGGATAGCTAACTAGCAAATATTACTCAAATTCAAGAAGAAAAGTCAATTTATGGTTAAACTGTACATAATGTGAACTATGCTACTTAAAATCTACCTAGGAGCTGCAAGTTCTTTTTCTTAAGAAAAAGACATGTTCATTCAAGAAACAGATCAGCACTGAAGGAGAGAAACCTTATTCTGAGGCTATTTGGTTAAAAATGGGAGTTTTTAAGGCAAATTGCCTTTAGGGAGAATTCAGAACACGGAGATGTCTTGGACCAAAAATATAAGGCAATCTATATACTATTAAAACTGTTTGATTGTTTGTAACCTTCAATTGGGCAAAAAGTACATCATAGGACAACAGTTTTTAAACCAAGGCTAACCTATAGAATGATCACAAAATCTGGGTCCTATTACTCCCATGGAACTGAAACTTGGCAAGGTTGTGGCTGCTTCAGTATCATTGTGCTGCTGTGTTGCCACGATTGGCTGAGGTCATGTGATCATCATGAGTATATCCTTGACATATTTTCCACCTTCCTCTGACTCCTGTACCCAATCAGCTGGCAGTAAGGCCCAACAGGAGAATGAAAATTGGCTGCTTTGGAACTGAGGCTGAAATTTGAAATCTTTTAACAGCAGTGGAGGTGAAGGAAGGACGAGGGAATAACTTTTTAGGGAAGGTTGTGGAAAAGGTGGTGGCCTGGCAGCTTTATAGGGTCCATCATGAAATCGAGATTATCTGGACCCCTTTCAGTCAGGATTATGGGACAGAAATGGCATTGGACGTTCTTGTTGAGGATCTTTGATGATAGCAGGATGGGGGTGGTGCAACCATCCTCACTCTCCTTGATCTCTAAGCGGACTTCAATACTGTCGATACAATCAATCATGGTATCCTTTGGGGCAGCTACAGGGGCTGGGACTGGGCAGCACAATCTTCTGCAGGTTCAGCTCCTTTTTCCAAGGCCAGTCCCAAATGGTGTTACTAGGGAGTGAGAGGTCCTGTCCCCAGCTGCTATCTTGTCGTGTGCCATAGGGCTCGATACTCTCTCCACTCCTTTTTAAAATCTACATGAAGCCACTGGGTGAGATCATCCATCACCATGGGTTGAGGTATCATCAGTATGCAGATGATACTCAGCTTTATAGTTCCACCCCTGATGATCCAAGTGATGCTGGGGTTGCCTTCTTGCTGGCAAAGAAGGCAACCCCAGCATCACTTGGATCATCAGGGGTGGAACTATAAAGCTGAGTATCATCTGCATACTGATACTTTGCTGGCAAAGAAGGTTGAAAACCACTAAGATACGTCTCCCCCACCCAAGCACCCTCCCTGAGCCTTGCTGCATCTTCCTCATATCTTTACACCCCCCACACACACCTTCATGCCCCTTGCAGCCCTTCCCAGTGTCTCCTTCGTGCCCTCCTCCACCTGGCAGCAGCCACTTATCTGCCTGCCAACCTGCTTGCAAGCCGCCTAGGACTTGGCAACTTCCTGTTGGCTTCTCCACTGACCTGGTTGTTAGAAGCTGGCAGAAAGTTGTGTCGCCTAACAACCATGGGATTACAACAGCAACCAGGACTGTAGTTGCACTTTTTGACTGCATCGTTTTGCAATGGAAATTCCAGTCCCAATTGTAACTTGAAGACTACCTGTATTCATAAAATTTCAAGTCCTACAATAAGTGGTGTGTAAAATCGAGCATATATATAATGCTCAGGCTTTGCTAGTAAAACAATGAGGTAATATTTGGGCATTCTGGTTTCACACACTCATAATCATACTCCTTAACCTATTTTTTCACATCCTTGGTATTCCTTTTTACTCAATTCTTCTATCTGTACTTCCTTTGTACTTGGTGCTACCACCGGTATCTTTTTATGAGTTTCCGTATAATCTGAGATATTCATGCCTGGAGTTAAGTCTGCTATAAAAAATTCCTTCCAAAAACATGCTATTCCTGTTGAAGCATTCCCAACTCAAGTATCTTGCTACAAATACATTACAATAAACAAGAACCATTCCTATAGAAATTCAATGACCTTTGTTAAAAGATATCATCAATAGGAAATGTCTGCTTCAAGCCTCATCTAAAAGTTTATTAAGACAGAAACTCACTGGATTATTTTAGGATGATTGTATGATGGGTAGTGGTATTGCTGATGGTGGGTTTTTAAAATCTTCTGACGTGCAAAAGAGTTTCTTAGGAAAAGTGCCATAGTATTGTACTTATTGTTAATGTCATGAAAGTGCATCTTTCATATAAAAAAGACATCCTGTGGAGATACTATGATCATACATCCTAACTGCCCAATGTTGCTAAGATGTTAAAACAGAAAAGATGCAGACTACTGAACCTTAGATTCATGTTCTCTAGTCAATGGGAGATGGAGAATTTTCAAAGGGTAAAGCCCATTTTCCTGAATGTGTTTTCCTAATGCAGTATTTCCTTCTAAACTAAAAGCAAAGGCGTTAACAGTCCTGATATAAATACAAAGGCATGCCAGCATACTGGAGTAAGTTTTTCCACATTAAACAGTCAGTGACAACTAGCATGCCTAGGCTTACATTTTCTCTAATAGCATTGCCTTAGTCAAACTCTTGCTAATAGCAGTAAGTAGAAAAGATCATCTGTTCCGTATAAGTTGCTCTTACTACCTTCCAATGGAATTTGCTGCTTGGTTCCTCTGACATCCGTAACCTCACAGTGACATTCAAACTGTTCTGTAGCTGAGCTTTTAACTTGAAGCTCTTCAAACTGCACACAGCTTGATCCAGTTCTTAGTCAAGTCCCGCTTATTCCTATCTTCAGTGGTTTCTTCAGAGCTTTCTGCTCCAGTTGTTTTTCAAACAGTTGCAAATTAAGAATGGAATTCCAAAGCCGAGGAGAGTCCTGTGCAATTCCAGAGAATGAAGAAATATCCAACATTCCTCAAACTGCCCATGATAACTATGCGAAAGAGGGCGAAAGAGCTGTGTCAAAGTTGCAGCGCAGGCATAGTGACATAAAAGTATATAAAGAAATATGTGACTTCTATGCAAAATTGTAAGTTTGCCTTTTCAGTTGATTTGGGACCTGGGCTAATCTAATTTCTTCAAGCATATTGACGTTGATGATCATATGGCTGAGTGATTATACCATGACCCAGTAACAAGGTTACTGTGTATTAATCTGGATATTGCATGTACTGTATTATGTAATATGTGTATTTGTTTCTGGTTCCAAAACTAACATCCTTTAGTGGACTCCTGATATTCTCTTTGGGTATATTACAGTCTACAAATATGAAGTGGCAATAGTCTATTTCTTATATAGTATGAAATACTTGTCTGCAATGAAAATATTTTTTCTAAATTCCATTGAAAATTCCTTATTTGGACTAACTAGTGTAGAAATAGCTGTGCATCCTAATCCTTTACACAAAGAAAAAATATATGTTCATGTGGCTCATTTCCTAGTAAATATGTATCATATTGAATCCAGGCAGAAAAATCCTATACATAGCTACTTTGAAATGTTGGACTATTTCCAGGGAAGTATATATAGAATTGTTGTTTTAAATTGTAATCCAGGCTATTTTTAGCAGAATATAAATTCCATTGATCAAAGTGAACATTATCTCTGGGGAAAAAAACCTGTATCATGCTCTAATAGCATAAGCTACATTTTTCAGACTTTCACAATAATATTGCAGTCGAAGTTTACTTTGAAAGAATTTTACCTTGCAAAAATGGTAGGAAGCTGCTGACGTGCATTCCACTTCATGAGTATTATAGAGGGATTGTTTTGGAAATGCTGGCAAAATTCAGTGGTATCTGAAAATAAACTATTCTTCAGCTGTCTCAATCCTGCATGGTAATACTGTGGTTACTATCCAGTGTACTTCACTTAATGCTGAATGTGAGACTTGCAGTTTCTTAGATTACAAACTGTTTTTAGTATAGATCCTCCGTTGCAAGCATGGTGGGTTGTTCTGTAGTTAGAATCAGAGTGTTTTACTGTGGATTCTAATCTATGTTAAGATAACATTAGAATGCTTGGTACTTCCCAAATTATTTATTTGTATTTGCAGTGAGTGGAAACTGACTTGAGTATTCTTCTAAAATGTTAAGAATAACTTGTACAGTCATCACATAGGAATGTGGAAAAATTTAGATAGCTTTTTGGCCCAATCAAAAGCTACTTAAACAAATTTTTAACGTTTTAGATCAGATAATTACATTGCGTAGATTCAAGGGAATTTCAAATTATTTCATGTGTGACAGTTTTCCTATAGTTTAATTAGTTGACCAAGCTTATGAAATGTGCTACATACACTGAGATGTCAGAATTTGGATTTCTTTAATTCATAAAAATACGTTGGAGAAAGCTACAAAATATGGACAAAGGATACATACCAATTGGATATGCTAACAAAATACCTGTGCATATGATTTTCTAATTTGTTCCTGCATCTTATACTCTGAGGAAAAGTATGAGCTAGATTTGTGTCACACAGCAAACAGCTCAAACACTGATGCATTATTTGGACAGAGTATAATCGCAATACTGTTTTATCATACATAGCATGTTTAAATCAAAACTTTGATAGGTTCCAGTACAATCTATAATGTTAAATAATTGCTCAGTTAAAAAATATCAGGACAACTACTGCTTTCATCCACTTTCCAACTTCTGAAAACGACCATAATCATTGTGTACCCTTCTGTGATTACCCCATGCCACTGAGGGAAAAAAACAGAGGGAAAGAAATGTGAAATCTCTAAGCCAGTGATGGCGAACGTTTTAGAGACCGAGTGCCCAAATTGCCACCCAAAACCCACTTATGCATCGTCGGGTGCCGGGTGGGTGTGGCCCATTGGGTGGGCGTGGCTGCGGTGGTAACAGCAGACTGTTCAATCAATTAATTCCAACTTTGCGAGATCTTTTTTTTCCCCGCAAGAAGTTAAAATTGATTGATTGATTGAACCTTTTTTTTTTTTGCACATGGCGGTGGAGACCTAAAGCGAAAAGGTTTTATAAAACCCAGCTGAAGGCCTAGGACTGGGGCGACGGCGCATGTGCCCACAGAGAGGGCTCTGAGTGCCGCCTCTAGCACCCGTGGCATAGGTTCGCCACCACTGCTCTAAGCCGTACACATCTTTTGGTCCATAAAATGAGGACCCAGATTGTTGGGGCAATATGCTGACTCTGTAAACCACTTAGAGAGGGCTGCAAAATACTGTGAAGTGGTATATAAGTGCTATTGCTACTGCAGTTCAGTGATTCTTTAAAACAGGGCCATGCCTTAAGACAATTCCAGCAGGGAAGGAAGAGCAGGAGAGAACATCCTTCCAGGTTACCTTTGACATCTCCAGGTTTCTTTCCCGTACATAGCAAGGATTTCTATGAGAACAAAGCTTCCCTTTGACTCCTTCTCTCCTTCAGCTGCTTGGTCTGCCTTTGCTACCAACTTCTGGTTTCTCAGTAAGGAGCCAATGCTAATTGAAAAGGGGGTTTCCCCACTGGCTTTAGGGTAGGCCCAGCATTTTACAGATGATTACCTTTCTTAATAAAATCCATAGAAAAGACTTGCCTTGTTTTTTGCAAAGCTGAAAAAGCCTATTGTTGCAAACACATGATCATCCGAGTTAGGTTCTCATGCAGTTCTCTTTTGTTACAGCAACATGGCCAATGCTCTGGCCAATGCCATGTGTGAACGCTGCCGAGGAGGCTTTGCACCTGCAGAAAAGATTGTGAACAGCAATGGGGAGCTGTACCACGAACAGTGCTTTGTGTGTGCCCAGTGCTTCCAGCAATTCCCCGAGGGACTTTTTTATGAGGTCAGTTTCTTTTGACTGGTTGCTTCTGCCTTTAGAAGTTACTCCTTGTTCCAATAGTTTGTTTCAAATATAGAAGATGACACTATTGAAATCAGGTAGAGTTCAGTGATCTAGCTTGCTTTGCAACCACAGTGTCCTCTGGAACATCTTATATAAGAAACCTCAAATTTATTATCTGATAATGCATTCTGGAAACCAGTTGCTAGCCTCACATAAGGTCAACCTTCACCATCTTGCTTCTCTTTTGGAGTGCTGGGCTCATGACTGCTGGAATTCCAAGATAATGTAAATCTATTTATTCTTTCAATAGTATCACCATTGACTGTGATAGCTGTGATTTTAAAATTTTCCAGCCTTAATACCGCTAGCAACTGATGTTCAGAAAGACTGCATTAAGAAAATACTATGTATTCATTTACCATGTGTTAAATTATCACAGTTTTTGTACTGAGGTTTTATCTTTGTAAGCTTTCTGGAGTTACCAAGAGTGAGTTGGGCAGCCATGTACATTTTTATAAATAAATAAATATTTAACAACTTCCTTCAACAGCTTAAAATTACTCCTTCTCTTTCATTTCAACTCTACAACAATATTGTAAAATAAGCTAAATCTGGGTTGGGGTCTTCTTGTGAGGGTCATGAATGAACATGGATTTTAATTATGGTTTCCTTGATTAACCTTAGCACTTCATTCATATCATCAGTTATCACTTACAAAATTGGTCACGTATAGCTTTTGTTTAAAGGACATACAGTGCAGCAATGCACAAATGAATAACTAATAGTAATTTTCTCATAGCTTAAATCTTGGTGCCAAGAAATCTGGAGTGACAAAGAAAGGGAATCTAAGTTAGTACCATACAAGCAAGGAAGTTCAAGGAATTATACCACTCAGAAAAAATTATGCCTCTCACATTTATCATTATCATGAAATTTAATGAATGGTAGGTCAGCTACACTTGTTAGAGATATTTATAATAGCCCTGATACATAAGAAAATTACAATCTAGAATAGAGGATTAAAGTAAAAATACTACCGGTATTAGCTATCTACAAATGCTAACCATGTAATATTTTTTAAAGAGAGATTCAGTTTTCAAAAGGATTGCAGCATTTCTTGTTTTTCACCTTGTCTGGAACTCATCTTCAATTAATTTTTAAAAAGAGTCATTTGGGGTATTGTGCTACAACCTGAAAACATATTCAGATGCTTTCTACAAGCTACTGATTGTTATAAGACACGGTGAATCATAGAGATGACAGGAATTAAAATATAGCCCTGATGGAAAATTTTGCAATGGTTTGTTACTGTCAAAATATTTCTGCTTACCTTGGTCAGGATAGCTTCCTAAAGAAGAGGTGCTGTTTCCTGAACTAGTACAAAATGATTGTACCCAACCAGCTGAGACAGATTAAAGCCAGTTTTAAATTACATAGGCTGTATAATATTTCTGCCATGACAATGGAGCAGCACTGTTGTTCATAATATGAAATTTTAAGCAGGCTACAAAAAAAGGATGGTTTGGTTTTGGTTTAACCAATGAATTCCCTGACCCAGAAAGAATTCCTTGGTTTAGTCCAGAGTTTGCAATCTCTTCCAAAGGCTGGATAGTTTTCTCTGGCATTTTCCCAGAGGATTTGCCCATAGTATACAGAAAGATCTCACCTTCAAGGATGTTGAACCATATTTAATGGTTTCCTTTCTTTTGGCCCAAACTAAGAATGTATATTATTATTATTATTATTATTATTATTATTATTATTATTATTATTATTATTATTATTATTATTATTATTATTATTACTACCACCACTACTACTACTACTACTACTACTAATTACAACACTTTATGCATTGATAGCTCTAATACCTTACAATTGAGTATTCCATTTGAAAGACCTATAATACAATCCTAACAAGATTTGTTTTATTGTGTTAGTTGAGGGAGTACCTAGATATGCATCTCTTTTATAGCAACTTGAGATACAATTTTTCCTTAGGAATCTGTAGTATTGAGAGCCTGGACATGCGTCAATCTCAAACAAACTTCATTGCAAAAATAGGTATTTATAATAGTCCTTTAATATTTTTAGAAATCGATAAAATGAAGTAGACATTTCCAGGAAATCAGGCATAATGAGTCTGCTTAGAAACTCCTTAGAAAACATGCTTATATTCATCCAAATTAGCATATAGTATTTGAACTATACAGTCCTTTTTTAATTCCTGCAAAATAGTCTTACCATTTAATGCTATAGTAACGCATGAAGTACTTTATCCTTCTGCTTCCTTACACATTGCATTTTTTAAATTTGTTTTTATTCTGCCTTTATTATTTTTATAAATAATTCAAAACAGCGAACATATCTAATACTCTTTTCTCCTCCTATTCTCCCCACAAAAACAAACCTGTGAGGCGGGACTAGAACTCATTATTCCTTGGACATGTGCCCTTGTAAAGTACTTGTAAGTAAGAGCACTTGTCTTATAGGCCATTTTGATTAAATCTTACATCTGAATACTATACCAGTATGCTCTGGGATAGTTACTCACCAAAAAAGAATCATAAACTATTTAGATAACTGAACTTCAGACAAACATTTTTTGTAAAAAGAAAAGCTAAGAATCAAATTCAACTATACATGCCCACCAATTTAACTGTGGTTTTGTTTTGACAGTTCTTTGGTATTGTGGTTAAGGTGATGGCCCAGAAACCAGGAGACTGAGTTCTAGTTCTCCCACTAAATTTTTCCTATATTTAAGATGTTTAGTTTGGTTAAATGTCTCTCAAGCTTTAAACTGCTGCTCTATGCCTGGTAAATTCACTGTACATTTTCATGCTTGTTAATAAACATGCACTGAATTGCTCGGGTTTGTGGTGGTAAACTTCAGCAGAACTCTCTAGTTGAGTAGTCATTCTTAATTCATTAATCTGAAAATATTCTTTGCAATTATCCAATTAATGCCTCTATATAGAATTAAATAGGAGCAATTGCCATTGAACAGATTTAAGTCCCGAGAAGCAGAGCTCCTGGAGTAATAGTGGGATAGAAACAAACAACAAACAAATACATACATACAGTACGTATTAGGACTATCCATAATATCAGGCTGTCTGATATAATATTGTCATAGGAATGCCTTATTTATTTCACACCTACTTCAAAATAACTCTGTTTATTCTGGTATTTTTTCACATAATTTGGAAAGAAGGTGACGTTCTCTGGGGCAAAAAAAGACCTGACATGAACATTTCCATCTTTCCAAAACCTTGCCCGGGGCTGCCTTTCAGGAAATGTAAAGGATAGAAGAAATATATGGCTAACAAAATATGTTTCCTGCATTGAACATTAAAACAGATGTCCATGATAAGAATAGCTCTTGATTTGTGCCCGGATGTAGATCATTTCATCAAAAGCATCAGTCATTCTTTACTTACGTTATCATGCATACTATATAAGTGTAGCTTGCTCAAATATAAAATCATATTGGAATTTCTCTTATTAGAAACCCTAGCAAGTCAAAGGCTATAGCTATGGTAAATGTGAAAACATACTTACCTCTTCTGATAGCCTGGCCTATTTGTCTGTTTTCAGTTTGAAGGAAGGAAGTACTGTGAACATGACTTTCAGATGCTTTTTGCCCCTTGCTGCCATCAATGTGGTGAGTTTCTGAAAAATATATTTTATAAAGGTCTAATAGCCTTTTATAAGAAGAGAGAGATAAAGTATACATTGTTTTAAAAAGAAAGCTGAATAGTTATAAAAAAAACAAGGCATACGTCTATTAAAAAGGTTTCCTGTTGTTGTCAGGAATTACACTTCAGCCTCGGTAATTCCACCCTGGATCTGCAAATGGAATTAGAATCTAAAATATATGAAGACATTGGTTGGGAAGGGCTCTTCTCAGAATATGACCATATGCCTGCCCCATTGTATTCATCCAAGAACAGTCATATTAAACACTTTTCCAGACTCAGAATCACTTGACATAAAAACATTTGTTCTGTAATAAAACATAGACGTGTGTGTGGACAAGAATATCAACCTTGCTGTCAAGCAAAATCAAGCTTTTAATAGCAAGTGCCACACAAAGTGCACTAACCAAACAGGTGGTAAGACAATAGGGGAACTCAGGCACCACACAGGTTAAGTAGAAAGTAAACACAGGGTCAGTCATAAAGGACTCAAATGTCTATACACCAATGAACAGCAAACAAGGTGAACTAGAAATTCAGGTTAATGAGGGCAGATATGATATTGTTGCCATTACGGAAACATGGTGGGATGAAACCCACAAATGGAACACACAGCTAGAGGGATTTAAATTATTTAAAAGAAACAGACTAAATAAAAGAGGAGGTGGAGTTGCTCTCTATATAAGTAATAACTACATCTCTATAGAAATAGAGCACAACAATGATGAAAACTGTCTTGAATGCATTTGGGTCAATATAAAAGGGAGAAAAAATGACATTGCCATAGGTGTATACTATAGGCTACCCAACCAAACAGAGGAAATAGAGGAACTTTTTGCTAGTCAGCTAACTAAGGTATGTAGGAAGCTCATCACAATAATAATGGGGGACTTTAACTACCCTGACATCAACTGGGAGACAAACTCTGCACCAAGTGAAAGACAGCTTTGTCTCCCAAAAAGTAGAGAAGGGAACTAGGGGATTAGCCATTTTGGATCTAATTCTCATGAAATGATAGAAGGTGTTGAAGCCACAGGAACCTTGGGAGGAAGTGATCATGCAATATTGGAATTCAACATTATGAAAGCACAAGCAATAGAACACAGTCAAACTAGAGTCTTGGACTTCAAGAGAGCTAATTTCAGTAAACTTAGAGAGGGCTTAGGAAGGATTCCATGGATGAGAATCCTCAAGGGGAAAACAACTCAAGAAGCTTGGGAAATTTTGAAAAGTGAGATTATAAAAGCCCAATACCACCAAAGAAGAAAAATAACAGCTCTCAAAAGAAACCAGCATGGCTGCATAAAGAACTCTCTGATAAATAGAAAGATAAAAAGGACAAGTATAGAAAGTGGAAAGTGGAAAGTCAGAATATCAGCAAATAGCCCAAGCCTGCAAAGATGAAGTGAGGAAAGCTAAGGTTCATAATGAACTAAGGCTTGCGACCAAAGTCAAAAATAACAAAAAAGTTTCTTTCAACATGTAAAAAATAAGAAAAAAGTGAAGTCATGTATATGAGATGGGTGGCTACATAAATTCAAATAATAAATAATAAAAACTGATGAAATTTTTAACAAACATAAGTTTTTTAAAAAAGAAATCTGCCATAGGCTATATCAGTGGTGGCGAACCTATGGCATGGGTGCCAGAGGCGGCACTCAGAGCCCTCTCTATGGGCACGGCGCCGTTGCCCCAGTCCTAGGCCTTCAGCTGGGTTTTAGGCCTCCGCCGCCGTAAGGGAGGAGACTGGGGGGCTGGCGGAGGGTGGTGTGATAGGTACGGTTAGTGGGAGGGGCAGGTATGGCGGGAGCAGAGGACCATATCGGGTTTTGGGAGCACGCACACGCTACTTACAAGCTTGTGGGTGCTCCGATCCTCAGAGCTCTGCTCGATCTCCAGGGACCTTAGATCCTCCGGCCCGGGCCCATCGGC